CACATAATTGTTTAACAAATTCATGTACCTTAAACCACAGAACTATCTTCATTAGAGGGTGGTATAGGAAGTCCTCCAGTTGGTGCACTCTTGTCATTTTTCAAAGGGCAGGATTTGATGTTGTGAGTATCTTTCTTGCAGAGAGAACATTTCATTATTCTCCCTTTCCTACTGAGCCTCACTTCAATTTTTTTTTTGGATTTTCCTGGCAAGACCTCTTCATGGGGCTGTTTTTTTTTTAACATTTTGTTTTGGCCTTCCAGGTAGACTGCCAACAAATGGTGATTTCAAGGGTATTGCTTCTACAGTTGGCCAACTTTCAGGAGGTTCGATAGTGCCCAACATCTCAGAATAAGCCTTCAAAAAAGTTTCTTTGTGGTACCAGTCAACAACATAGTCCTCTGGTTGAGTGCCCAACAAGAACATACCACTTATGGCATGCTCACAAGGGATACCTGTGAGGTCCCACTTCCTACATGGGCATTAGTTCACCCCCATATGAACTCTGAATCTCCTTGAGCTTCCCTCAACTTCAAATTGGTCTTCTCCATTCCAGTGACAAATAAAACCCATGGACTTCTTCTTCAATTCCTCCAACAGCTTCAAGATTTTTGGGCACAAGTTCCCATGCAGATTTTTTTTCATCTGATCCCTTCTCATGTAGGTCCTCTTCATCTGATCCCATGTAGGTCCTTTTTTTTCATCTTTTCATCTGATCCCTTCTCATGTAGGTTTACTCCTTGCCCTCAGAATGAGTGAGTTAAATAACCCAGACATATTATTCAGCTGCATATCACACTTTGAGTTGCAACTATAGTGTGACATTTACCACTGGTTTGCTGGTTTCTTAGCCAACCATTCAAAAGCTTCTTTATCCCTTCCTTCCAGTTCTTTCATTGCAGCATTAAAATCAACAACCCTAGTGGACCTAGCTGCTCTCCACAACAAGTTTTTCAGGACTAATCCCCTAAATGAAGCCCTAAAGTTTCCATACAAGTGTTGGACACAGAACCTATGCTCAGCATCTGGCAGTAGAGTTTCAATGGCATCTACCAGCCCTTTCTGTTTATCTGACATTATTGTCCACTGAAAAGAATTCTCAATCCCCAAATCTCCTTTCAACAGTTCAACAAACCAATGCCATGTTTTTTTTGTTTCCTTTTCAACAACAGAATATGCAAAAGGATACATACAGTTATTTCCATCAACACCAACTGCAGCCAATAGAACACCACCACAACTAGTTTTCAGATGGCAACCATCTAAGCATATCACCTTCCTACAACCCATAAGCAATCCCCTTTTTAAAGATCCCCAACAAATATAAATTCTTTTAAACAGTGGCTCCCCATCTACAAGTTTGCTTTTAATTTTCACAGTGGTCTCAGGGTTGTGTCTTTTGATCTTTTCAGCATAAGACCAAAGCATAGCATATTGCTCACAATCAGCTCCCACGCCAATCTGAGACACATATTTATTAGCCTAATACATTTGCCATCTTTTGAAAACAATCTCTACTTCCCTTTGCATCTCTGTCATCATTGCCTCTACTGGCCATTTAGGATTATCTAATATCTTATTTTTGTAAGTTTCAGCTATCCATTTTGGAGTAGCATGACTCACCTTTTGGTTTCTAGGACACTTATACCTACCATTGAATGTCTTAACCTGCACAGTGTCTTCATTCTGAACTTTGGATGCATAAATGAGCAAAGGACATGACTTATTTTTGCATCTTGCTTGCACCTTATAGCTCAAATTAATTGTAAAAGACACTTCTCTACCTTGTGCAATTGGAAAGTTCCTAACAGCCTTTCTAAACATGTTTAAGTCAGGAAATTTCATGCCCAATTCAAACTGTGGATTTTGCATGTCTTTTTGATGATCAAAAGTTGGATGGGCATTTTTAGCTCTCTGCTTACCCTTGCTACATGCAAATTCAGGCCTATCAGGTTCCTCTCTAGTTATCCCTCCCCATTCAATTTCTGCATCTACATGACCCTCAAACATCTTATCATCTTCATCATACAAATCACAATCACTCTCAAGAAACTCATCAGAACACTCTGAGTCTGATCCAAAAGATTGAATTTCAAACTCACTATCAGAATCACCCAAATCATTATCACCACAATCATCACCACCTATATCATCATGATTTTGTACAACAGTGAAATTATCAATTAATTCATCTAAATCCTGCCCATCATCCCCCACATAATCCAATGGTTCATCAACAGAAGGCAAGCAATCAGAAGGTTGACTACTCATGTAGTCTTCCATATGTTCAACATATAAACCAACCATTCTATTCTCATCAATCCAGTTAACAAGACTTAAGGCATCAAAATCATTTTTCAAGACAAACAAAGACCGGCAATCATTAACACCATTTTTACTACAATGCACACACCTAACACCTTCTGCCCCAACTTCAAAAGCCATAAGAAATATTTCTATCAGTGAGAGTTCATCAAGGTCACAGTAATGTGACTTACCCTCATGTTCTCATCAGTGTAGCATGTATCACCGAGTTCCACAAATTGTCAACCATAATGAAATGAAATGGTAAACAGTTGTGAACTTGGACCTGAAGGGGGACAAGAATATTACACAAATCAATATCCTGGTCCTTCACATAAAAATTAAATAAAAAAATCAATACAAAACTAAACTAATTTATCAATTTCGAAGCAGCCTCCACATTTAAAAAAAAATTCACATGTTTATATTTGAATAATCCACATTAATCACACAAACATGTTCACAGTTAAAAGAATTGGGCCAAATTCAACAAAAAATCAAAAAAAAAAAATTACTAGTTAGGGTTACAGTACAAACCGTAATCTGGGCAGGGTCTTCCTGGTAGTATGTCGTCATCACTGATTCGCTTTTTCCAGACCATCACAATTGCAATCAATTTGAATTTGCGAAGTGTTTGCTCTAAATTTTTGCAGAGAAGGTTCTCGTTTTTTTCGCGCAGAGAGAGAGACAAGAAGAGTGTTTTGCCCTAATTTAGAATTGGGTTTGTGAATTCAATTCAATTCAGAGTGTACTTAGGGGAGTCCAAAGGTTGCGTACATAAAATGGCAAATCTACCCTCAAGATTCGTGCGTGTGCGTCGCACGCTCGCTTTTTCGGTGGAAAACGAGCCGCCGATGGACGGAGGTTGCGATACAGGCAAACCCGTGTATTAAAGATTGCAATTTAGTACAAAATATTCTTTAGGTTGCAAAATCCGAAAACGCGATTAGTACAGGTTGTAAATAATTATTTAACCTTATTTAATTATATTGATAATATTGGAGATAGTAGAGCTGAGTTAAAGTAGAGTTACATTTGAGTTTTGATTGAGATATCTACTGTACAATTCATATACAATCACACCCTAAACACTTAAATACTACTCATTTAAATGTGATACTGAAAACGAAGACTTCTGAGGTGTTGTGGGATAAATGGATTTGAAAGTCTACAACCTTTGAAACTGATTATATAATACACGAGATTAGTGTTGGATTTTAAAGAACTGAAAACCATACATGTTTGTCCTCATTGCTTAGAACAGGTTTCGTGAAATTTAATTTTGATGGAAATGAAAAATTCTCAAAGAGCCGTAATGGAATAAGAAATTTCACGAAACCTGTTCACTAAGCAATGAGTACAAACATGTATGGTTTATAAATAACAGTTATCATGAAATTGTTTATAATATTAATTGGCTTATATTACCCATGATAAATTGATAATTACCCATTTCATTTTATAAAATATTAATGCAAGGATGATTAGCAAAGGGTTAGCACGGGACTCAAAAAGTATTGAATGTTTACGAAAATCGAACAGTAAGCATTTCGAACAGAAATAATTATTGGTTGTTTGACTTTCTTCAAATCGAACGTAATTGAAAAAATAATTGGTACAATTATGAAAATTTCATAAATATCTATACCGAGGACTAAAAGGAATCGTCTTATACCATCTCAAACCAAAGAATCAAACAAAAAATTGAACCATAACTTTAAGTGTGTTTTGTTTTCTTTGCTTATACCATCCCAAACCAAAAAATCACATAAAGAATTGAACTATAGCTTTAAGTGCGTCTGGTTTTCTTTGCTTTTATGTCAACATACATTAGTACTAGATTATATGATTATTTTCATAATATTTAATAACATATAGTAAAAGCAATTAAACTTCATACAAATTTAATTTTCTATAAACTTAATTATAATTACATTTTTAGTTATTCTTCTAGTTTTATTATATCCTATAGTTAAATTGATATAAAAAAAATGGAAGAGGAATATTTTTAATATCATATATATTTTATTAAAAAAGGCAAGGCAAAAGTAAAGATAAAGAATGAAATGAAGAATTTTCCAGCAGTGATTTAAATTTCACTATTTTTTTTACATATAAATATAATTTAGCTAGACAAAAATTATATGGAGCCATCGGATGATTTTCTTATAGAGTCATCCACCACTTAATGTATTGACACATGTCTAAATTATATTTATTGCATGACATATGTCAATACAGTAGTAGTGAATAAGTGTGGATGACTTCATAAGACGAGCCATCTGATGGCTCCATAGCAATACTATTTAACTAGAATTGTGATTCATTTTTATTTTTTATAATTTGCTAAGAATGATTAAGGAAAAAAAAACTTTTCATACAAAATAAAATCTAGTCTAGAGTTAAATAAATGAGATAGAGTAGAAGGTGTCATTTTCGAAACTTTTTACCAAAATAAAATCTTACAACATAATTATGTAAAATAACAAAGTTAGTTGGAATATTATAAGTTGAGAAGACTCTCACTTGAAAAAAAAAAAAAAAAGTTTAGAAGTTAACTCTATTATACCAAAAAAAAAAATATAATAATAATAAAAAAATCCGCTTAACATATTTCATAACAATATTTTACAGTCAAACGCGCTTTTAATATGTTACCCTCACAGCCTATATAATTGCTTTCCACCTAATTCCACTCACAAAAAAATCCCAACTCGGAAAGGAGGCAAGCAAAGAGACTGGAATTTTCTAAGGGTTGTTGCCCTCTTTGCCTGCCAATGATTTTCAATTAACAAAAAAAAGTGAAAACAAACAGCCCTTTATGTGAAGCAGACAGTTGACCATGACCTTTTCCGGTCAGTGGATGTCTCTGTGTGTATACATAATACATATGTATCATCTCCATCTGTCTCTATCTATCTGTACTCAGAATCCAGAACAAACACAAACAACAACAAAGATCCTTGTGCAGCTGTATATCTATCTTTCGTACCTTTCGATTGTCGTCTAATTTGGGTGAGGCTGTGATGATGAGAGTCACTGTATGAGTTGGGTCGGGCATCGAGACGGATCCGACCCGTATCTTGGCGGGGCATGCCCGATTCGGATGGGTTTTGCAGCCATGGCGGTGTGACTGTCTCGGCTCCGTTTTAGATCTGAGCCTACCTTTTATTTCACCCTAATTATACTTCATAGTTATTTATTTTAGTTGTGCTTTGTAGGATTTTTTTTTTTTTTCTTTTATCTTTCGAGTACAATTGGTTTCATTTATTTTTTTAAACTTTTACCGATATATTTTTTGTTGAAATTCTAATTCTGCAGTGACCGTTTTATTACATTCCACGTCCTAATTTTTTTTGTAATTTGAAGCGACAAAGGATAACTATGAAAAAATAAAAGGATAACTATGAAATAAATTAGTAATTTCTATAAGATTTGGCCAATGTTTCTGTACAAAAATAAAAGTGAAAATAATCTTTTTCATCCAACTATAGAAATGTATTAAATTTTTCACACCATTAATAGATAAGTTAACTTTTTCACCCCAGAAAGTACGAAAGGTATTTTTTGATGAATATGCGATAGTTGCACGATGACATTGTGCGAAAGTTAAAAGTGCAAAGACATTCGAATATCCCTTCACATTTTCTGAAGTAGAAAAAGTTAAAGCGCGAAAGCATTGCGCGATGAATATGCGATAGTTATGCAATTGATATGTTAGTGGGGCAGTGTGAAAAATTTAATGAATCTTTGTATTGGGGTGAAAAAGATTTTTTCCCAAAATAAAAGTTCATTGTTGTCCCACATACTTGGAGCTCACCATAGCATGGTGAACTTTGGTGGGCTTTAGTGGGCTCCATTTCAAAAACAATTGGTGGTAGGAGGAGTAACCCACTAGGCTTATAAGTTATGTTTATTTTCTCTATATAAACGATGTGGAACAATTTACAGACGATATTTTAACATGTTCCCCTACTTGTGAGTGCTTCATACGAGGTCCAAGCCCAACTGGACTGGGTGACGAGTATGTCATTACTGGCTCTGATACTATGTAATAAACGAGGATAAAACGGGTGCGATTTCATGCACGTGAAGCTCACCATAGTAGGGTGAGCTTTAATGAACTTTAATGGAGTTTCATCTTAAAATCAATTGATGGTAGGAGGAATAGCCCACTAAGCTTATAAGTTATGCATATTTTTTCTATATAAATGACGTGAGACAACTCACAAAACTCACAAGTGATATTTTAACAACGAAAACAAAACTCACAGGTGATATTTTAACAACGAAAACGAAATGACTCAATTAAAGTACATCTTGTTAGAACCTCAAGAATCTTCATCATCTTCGATGAGGTTTTGGACCTTTTGGTGACATTTTCTTGTCAGTTATCATGACGCTCAAGCATTTGATAATTGGGAATGTTTAGCATGACGCTCAAGCATTGGTGAATAGCATGTGGCCATATTTTAGCATCCACCAATAAAACTAAAACATGTGGCCATATTTTAACTATTCAAGTGCTAAAAGCACACCATATTTTGCTATAGGTAAAATCAAAGGAAAATGCTATTTAGAAAAATTATTAAGGCAACTAAGTAAAAAAAAATATTATGAGTGATCAAGCAAGAATGTCAGAACAAATAGGAACACTTATAAAAATAATAAAAAAGACCGAAATAGAAACATTCAAAAAATTAGACGAAATAAAAGAAATAATAAAAGAACTACAAAATTTAGTACAAAAAGAAAAATCACGGAAAAAATTATTTAAACCAATTCGAATAGAATCACCAACAAATTCTAATGAATGATATAGATAGATTAACACAATTATTAAAAAAACGTAATATTGAAGAAATTAGAATGACAAAAATAAAATTTAGCTAAACTTAAAACTAAAATCCTAAACCCCAAAATGAATCCCCAACTAAGTGAACATTAAATGAAAATCAGGAACCTATGTACAACAATGCAATGATAACGAGCCGACCTAAGTAACAGGGTTAAATATGTTATGGGCCGGCCCAAAAGCATATGAATTGGACCAGCATTAGCCCGCTCAATTTCCTATCGTTGTACCTCATAAATAACGAGACTACCCTTTGCCCTAGTGGAAAACAACACTGGCAATATAAAACCTGAAAAACTAGCACGCCCATCAGAGGAAGAATGGTAAAAATCGCTCAGACAACAAGAATGAGGGTTTCACCGTGAGGAATTGGGAGTTTTTCAAAGGGCTGTTTGCCCCTCACTTCAAGCTCTGTGATTTCTTTATGAAAAATAAAAATAAAATAAACAGCCCTTTACATCACAAAAAAGAAGAAAAAAAGAAAACTTGTATCCAATCATCCCTTCACTGCTCTAAATCTCTCTCTCTCTCTCTCTATGTGTGCGTGCGTGTGTGTGTGTGAGTATGAAGGGGGCTGTGACGATGATTCTTTAGTGTTATTTGTCTGAGCTTGTGGATCGGGCGAGGGTCGAACCGACCCGTATCTTGGCGGGGCGACCCGGACGGCGTCTGGTAATCAGATGCAACCGGTGGATTCGCAGCCATGGCGTGGTTGATGCTTCCTTTACCCTGTCGTTACCATGAGATCCGAGCCCCTAATTGTTTTCTTTTGGGATTTGTTTCCGTTTTCGCAATTGTTTGTTTTTCTTTTGAAGGAGGTTTCCAATTAAATCTCGATTTATAGAAAAATGAAATTGATAATTTATAACTTGGGGCAGGAAGAAATGTGAAAACGATACTAATAACAGTTTTCCGTCAGTCTTTGCTCCCAGCTACCATTTTAACTCTGGCTTATTTGGATGGAGGTGGATGGATGCATCTCAAACTTCATCTCAACTGTTAGAAGTCCTAGACGCCCCACGACGATTTCTGATCTAGAAATTAAAATTAAAATTAAATATTTTATTTATGTTTTTGTTTTAACCACCTAAAATATGATATTTATCTCAATTTATGATAAATTTATACTCCTAAATTAAAATAATAATATTAATTTATTATAATAAAAAATATAATAGCAATTAGCAATCCAAGACAGTAATATTATAATGACTAGCTTCAAAAAGAAAAAAGAAAAAAAGAAAACCCCTACACTAACTTTATTACACAATTAAACTCATTTTATAAATACTAGCAATATAATTATATAACTAAGAGCATCTCCAATGTGAGATGTTGACTTAATAAAATGTTAGCCACATCATCAAGTTATAAAGTGAAAACAAAAATTAATCTCCAATCCATAATGTTATGGACTCTTTTATGCGACATGGAGACAATAAACATCCAAAGTGTGAAGCCCACTTTCTAGTTTTCCAAAGAGTGTTTGAAAGCCAACTCATAAAAAATCTAACTTATTTTAAGTTTTTGAAAGGGATGCATTGGAGATGTGCATTCCAAGTTAAAGTCTTCTCTTTTGACATTCATATTACATGGATTTACATTCCATTCATCATTTGACATGTGTTCAAATTTAATTACTGTTTAAAGTGGAGCATTGGAGATGCTCTAAGATTCCAGTTTGTTATTTGCAGATTTACTAGAAAAATAATCCTATAAGTTATTTGAATAAATTAAACATTTACCAAAAATTATAAGATAATATATCAGATTACAAAAAAGGACCCCGGGTAATATATGGTAAGTGAATTTCTCTCACACATTTCATTAACCTCCTGTCCACTAATAGTATTCACAATACATTGGATCTCTTAAAAAAGTATTATATATGTCATATAGGAAATAAATCTAGTCTATAAAAAAATGTCTTCCAATGTAATTAAAAATGGACATGATCTATTTTATGTGACAATAAAAAAAGAGACCAAGTCCACACTTTGGTCTATTTTGAATCAAAGTACAAACCTGAACAGTCAATATTTATTCCTAATTTTTTTTTCTTTTAATATGGTAAACATGTTAGAACACTTTTATTGGTTGACAAGTAGTCTAGACCAAATATTTTATTTTTGCACTGACTAGCTTTTGGGTTTTATTTACTTGGATTTGTCCATGTCATTCATAACTTAAGTCCATTTATATGCCACATAAGTAAAATTAGACTCAATACATTGTGGATGCTGTAAGAACCACGAAGTCAACACCAAACCACCTACCACCATTAACTGTAACCCTTAACACTTTTGAAGCCAAAAAGAACAATAGCAAAAACCAAGTTCGGAAGAATCCCCTCCATAGATGCTGGAAGTTCTCCTCATCAGAGATCGAGTTCCCGTTTAAGATGAAACCTCAGTTCGAAAAAAAAAAAACGAAACCAAAATTTTCGATGAAGTATCCCGGCAAGAATCGACACGAAAAACCCTAGCCCACAATCAATTTTGATGAATTTCAGTCCGATATCGACGTGACTTCAGTCCGATTCTGATGAATTTCTGTCTGATACCGCTTACCAGTCACGCCACTTTCAAAAAACCTTGCGGTGATGAAGACAACGAAGAACATCTGGAGGATTTGAAGAGACAACAATGGACTCCAGCGGCAGCGCATCCCTCCCCTCCTCGTTCTCAGCAAGGAGATAAAGTTGGAGATTACAAAGACGAGGCTGAAACTCTTGCTCGTTGCGATGTTGACAGTGAAGGAGGTGCAAGGTTGGAGCAATTTGTAAGAACAGGAGTAGTACTGTAGCTGACATATATCGAAAGTTTCGAATGGGCATTATATGTTGAGTATATAGACAATATATTTTCAGTATATAGACATTTTATGTTTTGTATTTTAGATAAAAATTCAAACATCACAATTGTGGTTAGATAAAAATGATATATAAATAAATAAATAAAAAACGCATCATATACTTAATATATTGATTATAAACGCAATAAATTGAACTAAAATTCAAACTTTACAATTGTGCTTAGATAAGAATGCTATGTAATAAAAAACGTATCAGGTTATATACTGACTATAAACGTAATATACTGCCCCTTCAAAACACATGAGAGCTTAAACCTCAGAATCTGGTGCATCATTGCAATTAATTAACATGGAAATGGTAAAGATGCAAATAAAGTTTGCCCATGGTAAAATTTTAATTTTTTTTTTTCAAATCACGTGGTATAAATAAAAAGTCGCCCGGAAAAAATAAATCAAGTCCAACCATTACTAACTGCTAAGTGTAAATCAAGATTTCAAAACAAATTCTAAGTCTAAAACAAACTCCAGATTCAACAAATTTTAAGTTCAAAACCATTTCAAAACAAACTCCAAGTCTAAGTAAATACATAACACATTATGGAGTAAACACCACAATTTCAAAACAAACTCTAAGTCCAAACAAACTCATAACAATTTCCAAATCCAAATAAGTACTTATCCACAACCACAATTTCAAAACAAACTTTATATCTAAAACAAATTCCAAATTTTAAAACAACTCCCAGGACCAAAACACTACTAAGAAGTAAGGATTAAGAAATATTGCATAAAAGGATTTTATTCTTCTTCTTCTTCTCCATGATTTTCTAATACATGCTCTTCATATGAGTTAAAGTCAATATCATTCTTATTAATTTGTTCATTCTCCTCGGATTCAAAATCCTCTTCATCAAGCTCTCTCACTACTATTGATATGTTATCATCAACTTCAAGGCCATTAACCCCCTCATCTTCACCGTCTACTAATTCTGGAATAATTCACTTTTGTGCTTTACTTGTCTCACTAGCAAGTAACTTAATTTTTTTGTTTCCCATTTGCGTTTGCTCAATAAACACAAATTGAATTGGACTAGATTTTTCAAGCGCAAACATCTAGCCTGTGAAAAGTATACAAAATCACATTATAATAACGTTGCAAAATTAATAAAACAATTACAATATAATATATCCAACTAACCCATTCTAATGTACTTCAACTTATTTCTCACCCAGATGAGCTTGTGGTGAATGGCAAGATTCTTATGGCAATTCTTTGCAAATTAGACATTCCATATACACAATTGAACTACCAAGTAGCTATGCATGAAAACAAAAAATAAAAAGAGAGAAATTAATATGAAACCAAAATCATTGTGTACTCATTTCAACTTGAAAGACAAGTGTATGACTACTCACAAAAAAATAAATATAATATTTTAAGACATGTCACACAAGAGGTAAGACATAAAAAATAAATAAGTAAATTCTCATTTACTCGGATCAAACTTTTCGCCGTTTAATTCACAACTTTTTGCGGCAATTGGCTTCTTGAAGACTCCTCAATTTATCTTATAAATTGACAACTCAACGTTCATGATTTATCCATAAAATCAAAGTTACCGTGACAAATGACATCAAAACAATCAAGAACTCCGTATGAAACAACTTGATCTAGTATGAGATTCGAGTCTTTATAATGATATTAAGGATTTAGTAGATATGTCATCAAGTACAATGGAATGTCCAATCTACCCATCATCTTCATGTCAATGTTTTCTAGAATAGATCGAAGTTCTTGGCATAACCGTTCAAGACAATTTTTATATCCTGTTTGGCATACATAAGCTCCCCATAAAAAAATTGCATTTCTATCGGCATCAGCTATATGAAGGACCTTCACCGAAGGAGCAAAAATAATTAAGAAAGATCTCACACAATTCCAAAAACCAATAGACATCACGATGTTGTAACTTGTTTTCCCCTTGACCGTCTTAGACAATTTGTACTCATCCCACTCGGAGGTAGTAAATATCGCCTTTCATTGTGTCTTTTTTTTTTCCCCCATCAAGCTTTGCAAGTTAAGAAAAGAATTGGAAAATTGCCTGACCCCGAATCTTACTATATCCCTCCTTTTAGTGTAAGACCTCATCATAGATATTGTCATATGATGTGCATAAATGAATATGGTCGATACTTTTGCTTGAATGGTTTTGTTGAACCGCGGTAGTTTTGCATTGCCTTCCAAGATAAGATTGATGGTGTGAGCTACACATGAAGTTCAAAAGATAGTCGGCCTTTTCGTGTGCAATAACCTTGTCGCTCCCATACTATTTCTGATTGAATCAGAGAAGGCCCGACTCCGAAGAAGATTGGTCGTCACAAATTGAACGATATTCTCATGCCCAACTTGTTCAATGCATGATCCACATACTCGAATATCCAGGCCCGGCCCTGGCCCTGGCCCAAGGCGACTTGGGCAACGGCCCATGGCCCGATATAAATTAGGAGTGCCAGGCTAGACACAAATGTGATATATGTATATAGGCAAATTTACATATACTTTATATAAGAGTTATTTACATATATACGATCCGTGGAAAGTTATATCAATTAGGGGTTTGGTGGAGATTTGTTTTTCACAAATACGAGAAATGTTTCTCTCTCCAAATAAAAATAATGCAATTAATTTGCCCAAAACGGATGTTTTTTTATAAAAAAAAAAATCTTACCAAATATGATACCTCCAATTCTGGGTTGCACGATTTCAATTAAGTTATTTTATAATGTTATCACATATTTAGACTAAAAGTAAGTTAAAATGTATTTTTTAACTTTTAAAATAAATTTCATTAAACTTTTGCATAAATTTCAATTATGAAATAATGATCTTATTAGGTAATTTTACTATGACATTTAATATTATTTATTATAAGTACTTAAAAAATAAATTTTAAAAAAAAGTATTGTGGTTTACATAATTATGTCCAAATATAAAGTGATTTTGGAGTTTTAAATTGAAAAATATAATGTAAAAGTTGGCCTCATATATTGAGAACTTAAAAATGAAACCTTCAATCAAAAAAGTTAAAAATTTAGACTCTATTATAACACAATACCCAAAAATCAAGTCATACAACATAGGCCTTGTTTGGCAGTCAGCGGTTAGCGGTTAGCTGTTAGCAGGTCATATCAGCTGTTTTGACCAACGGATTGTATTGGTTGTTTTGACCGGCGCATTACTTTAGTGGATTGTGTTAAAGCTTTTGGTAAAATTAGTTGATTGATGTTAATAAATTGAATAAAGTAACTAATGTGAGTAATATAATTATTCTAATAATAATAATAATAATAATAATAATTTATTAAAAATATATATTAAGAATTATAAAAGAATTTAATTTGTGTATATGTATATATATTCATATATATTTCCTACATGTATAATTATGTACATAACTATATATTATAAATTAGATGTGTATTTTTTTGGGGGGTAAAATTAATTGTCACGTAACTAGTAGTTGGTCACGTAAAAAAAGGCTGGTATTATTATATTTTAAGTTTCTCTAGTATTAAAATTATATTTTATAAAAGAATTTAATAATCACTTTTTTCATATAAAAAATATAGCTCAAGATACCTGGACATATTTTTTTGCAGCAAATTGATTTATTTGTATATTTATATATTATACTTTTTTATTTGAAAAGTTGATCCAAAAACGCTGCAAAACGCAACGTTTTTATTTTTGGCGTTTCGTCACATTCCGTTGTTTTCAAACTCTGTTTACCAAACATCAGTAAGTGACCAATTTAGCGGTTTGGATTTTGGTCAAATCCGCTAATTCAGCTTTTTGCTCAAAATGCTGGAAAACAAACAAAGCCATAATTTCTCCTATATTCCATTGGACTCTCAGTCGTACTTGCTAATTGATATAGGGACAAAAGAAATAAGTAAGATTAATTGACAAATATAAATATATATATTTTAGCCAAACTTTTTTTTTTTTTCAAACCGACAATTAACTTATATTGAAAACTCAATAAGAACTCTATACAAACGAGCAACCAAATGATTGCAAAAGATACAACTTGCAGAAGTAAGACAGATCACATCAGCGGGGCTGCCAAACAATGCACCCCTGAACCGCAAGAGAAACAGAAAAAGTTAGGAACCTGTATTCAATTTCAAGTTCAACAAATGAACATTAAATGAAAAAATTATCCCAACTACGTTGAAATGAACATTAAATGAAAAAATTAGGAACCTGTATTCAATTTCAAGTTCAACAATGTTATGATAACGAGGCGGGTCAAGTAACAAGCTTAAATATATTATGGGCCGGCCCAAGAGCATACGAATTGGACCAACTTAAACCGGGTCAATATTTGTACCTTCCAAATGACGAGATACCCTTTGCCCTAGAGGAAGTACAACACTGGTAATATAAAAGCTGATAAAACGAGCACGCCCACTAAAGGAAGAATGGTAAAAATCGCTCAGACAACAAGAATGAGGACTTCACTGTGAGGAATTGGGAGTTTCTCAAAGGGCTGTTTGCCTCTCACTGCAAGCCCTGTGATTTCTTTTTGAAGAACAAAAATAAACAGCCCTTCTCAGTTCTCAAAGAACAATTTCTTTCTCAAAACTACTTTCTTTCTTTATATTCAATCCCAATATCCATCGCTTTACTGCGCTCTTTCTCTGTCTCTCTCTCTCTATATATATGTGTGTGTGTGTATATGAAGGGGGCTGTGACGATGATTCTTTAGTGTTATTTGTCTGAGCTTGTGGATCGGGTGACGGGCGAACCGACCCGTATCTTGGCGGGGCGACCCGGACGGCGTCTGGTAATCAGATGCAACCGGTGGATCCGCAGCCATGGCGTGGTTGATACCTCCTCTGCCCGGTCGTTATCATTAGATCTGAGCCTCCAATTGTTTGTTTTGGGATTTGTTTCAGTTTTCGCATTTGTTATATTTATTTTGAAGGAAATTTCGTATTAAATATTTAAAAAATAAAATTAATGAATAATAGTTTTTCGTCGCCACCAGCTACCGCCTTAACTAGTTGGAAATGGAATGCTGAAAATTTGACTAATGAATTTTTATGGAAATATATGTTCAAAAAATTATAACTCGATAGTCAATTGGAGGTCCCAAGCAAACAACACAGTCGATAAAACTTTCAGACTGCACGAGACTGAAGTTTGCGAGCCCTTCAAACTTCAGTTAGTGACCTCCAACGATTCAGTTTGTCAAAAATTAATTTCGAAGTCCTGATTAATTTCGAAATATATATTGTACTTTTCTGAGTTGATTCATAAATGAGCTAAGGCTAAAAATACAAATCAGTCAAACAACAAGCTAAACTAAATCTGGGACACACAATCAAGCAAGACACCTCACAAGGGGCACATACAGAAAAAAACACTAACAGTAAAAACTCAAACAAACCAGGGGGTCATTCAATATAAATTAATTTAGATTTGTTAGATAACAATAGTTAATTTTAAAAAAGATGTTAGAATTGAATTTTGAATTGTATTAAAATAGTATTTAAAATATAATTATTAAAAATGATTTAAAGTATAAATATAACGTGCAGATATCTCTACGTGTTAGTGTTGATCCGGACGTCCCGTTTCTTTTTCTTACCGCTTGTACAAATCTAGTATTATAGTGTTGGTCAATTTTTTTCATACTGAGTTTGTTTATTTTTAACATTACATATAATTTGTTTTATTAGACCAAAGCTTTGTAACAAAAATAGACATATTCAATTACTACACAAACCAATTATTGCTGCAAGTTTAATTATTGGATTTTTTGACCGTGCATTTACAGTGAAATTGGATATATGACATATTGACAATAAATTAATTTATATGATGCAAAAATTCACATATTTTATATTAGTGCGTGACCCGTGCGATAGCACGAAAAAATAATATTACGACTGTATTATAAATTAAATATGTAAATAACATTAACATGATTTACCCATTATTTTTAAATTAAACTGAGTTGGACACAGTCCGACTGGATGGACCAAGAAGCGGTTTAAATTTACCATTAGATCTGAGCCTCCAATTGTTTTCTTTTGGGATTTGTTTCAGTTTTCGCATTTGTTATATTTATTTGAAGGAAATATTTCCTATTTAATTTCGATTCATAACTTGAATTTTGGAAAATAAAATTAATGAATAGTAATAGTTTTCCGACGCCACCAGCTACCACTTTTTAACTTTGGAAATGCAATGCTGAAAATTTGACTAATGAATTTTTATGGTAATATATGTAAATAAGTTTATATCTCGATAGTCAATTGGAGGTCCCAAGAAAACAACACAGTCGATAAAACTTGCAGACCGCACGAGACTGAAGTTTGCGAGCCATTCAAACTTGAGTTTGTGACCTCAAACGATTCAGTTTGTTAAAAATTAATTTCGAAATCCTGATTAGTTTATGTTTGTCTTGTCTGAGTTATTTCATAAATGAGCTAAGGCTAAATTCAATTTTCTTTTCTCGTAATAAAAGTAAAATTACAAATCAATTGATAAGTCAAACAACTAACTAAACTAAATCTGGGACACACAAATCAAACAAAACAACTCTCACAAGGGACACAAACACAATAAGT